TATTTCAAGTAGCAACAAAAAGCAACCGATTCGTAAACTATGAGATGTAACAGATTGCATTGTCTATGAAATATGCTATTTCTACTCTAATCAATATATCATTCGCATATCGTAGTCATAAATACGGGAGAATGGGGTGGACCAGTGAGTCATTCTTCATCTTCCGATTCCCCAGATTCCGAAGTCTCTCCGTGCTGGGGTGGACCTTCAATAGCAGCACCACTTGTTTGTCTTCGTCCAGGGTGAACGATTTCTTGAACCATGTAATTAGCTGATTCAAAAGGAAGGAAAATAAATTTTGATACATTGAACTAAACTATCAGATTTTAATGACAAAGTGTTGAAAAGATTGCAGATCGATATACAAAAGTTGTTCATAATGTCAGGCTTACTCCAGTAGTTAAACATTTATAATATAATGCAAAATCAAATCATCATAAAAGTAAAGCAAGTAGAAGTCACTACCTGATGCTAAAATCTTCATAAAAAATTTCCTTGCAAACTGGATTTCCCCTTGATGATTACTCACAAATTTAACCTGCAAATCAAGACTCGGATGAAGCTACCGATTGTGAGGTTTAAACTTTTTTGTATAAAGAGATGACATACAGTAGGTGTGTGGAATTTTTGTTCTTTATTTAATGACGGAGAATGTTTATGCATTGGGAAGCAAAATTTTTATTCGAGATATCATCAAATTCATCCAGCCTATTCTCCCGTATTTTAAGGCAGTGACCATTGGTGGACCAATACAAGCCTCCCTGAACAAAACCTCTACCTAACAACCCAAAATAGTTGGGGTGGGGGGTAAGGAAAGAGGGGGAGAGAGAGAGAGTAATAGAAGGATGTCAGAGGACCTACATTATCTAAACATTTGACTATTGGAATAGGTGAAGCTCCATCTCTTCAACCTAAGCTAGGCTTCAAAAAACATTTACTGCCTAGTAAAGCACAGAATAAGATATTCACCATTTCATCGTACAAGAAACCCACAATTTGATCGAGCCTGGATTGATGTCTTCGGAGGAAAGGGCGCAAGTGGTTCATATACAATTGCCTTGCTCCCTGGAGAAACAGGAAGTGGAATCAAGTGAGGTATTGACAAGACTAGCATGCAGTGCGAGCACAAATCATGTCTCAAAAATAATTCTAAAATGGTTAAAGCTAAATATAAATATCACATAAATAGAACAATGACTTTTGGTTAATCACATGTTCAATTACTCTTTATGTTTGCACTATTATAAAGGGAAGGCAATTTAAGCAAGCAACAGAAAATATCATGGTCATTCACATCCATATTCACGCAACAATCTGGATTTCATCATGAATCAAAAATCAAAGTCAATTTTTAACTAACCCTTTGCATATATGTAACAAAACTACAAAAATAAAACAAAACCAAAAAAAAAAAAAAAAAAGTTAAAAAAA